TCCTACTTAGCATATTCATTTTCTTTCTCCAGAACTTGGTTCTTAGAATCACTCCATTCTTAGACTAAAAACTTTGCGGTTGTATTCTCTTCTATATTTATTTCACACCAAGTCTTTTTATTTTTTTTGGCGGGGGGAGAGATTTTCACTATAGGGCGCATGCGCTTGCCAGCCAGACAGAGAGAGACATAGAGACACAAAGCGAGAAATCACCCCCCAGGGGGGATGGTCATGCCGCAATCCCTTCTCTTCCATTCTCCTCTCGGGATCTTGGGCACGCACGCACACGCACCCGGCGTGAGTTTTAAGCCACCGGGTCCGGGACGCGAACCGCGGTCGACTAAGTGGGAGTCCAGAGACATAGCCATTATACTAACTGCTGGTTCCCCACACCAAGTCTTTTCGAACTGCAGTCAACTATGTGAGAATCCAGTGATAAAACCATTATTCCATCTGCTGGTCACTACATTTTCTTCTTTATTTCTTTTTTATTACCATCTATCAAGAACCTCAACACATAGGTTTCTTTAATGGTATTCTAACTTTAATTTTGGCCCTTGTTTTTTTCCTTCAACTTCTTGTTAGATTCAAGACTAATCTTTTTAGAATATTTATTTGATTATTTTGTAACTGTGCTCGAATTCATGATCTTATCCTTAATAATCATGTCTCCCAACTACTTAGTAAGACACATCTACTCCTTCATCTTGCAGTCAGAATCTTCTACTGTGTAGCGCCAACTGTAGTTAGCCTATCTTATTTTTTCCCCGCATACACTGTGAATGTTCTGTTTCATCAGATTTCCATGTCTGTCTCCCTCTCCCAACATCTTTCCAAGTCCAAACACTTCTTCATGACACTTCACTTGGGTCCTATTTTCTTCTTTGACAAGTACCTTCTCTCTCTGCACTTTTCTACATCTTACTCATGTGTTCAAATCCATCTCTTCACCTGGGTTTCTGTGGTCCCAGCTCCTGTTGATCTTTCTCCTATTTGGAAATCTCTGGAGTTGTTAGTCTGGACTTGTTAAGCTGGAGTTACTTATTTATTTTTTAAAAAGAATTATTTATCTATTATTATTATTATTATTTTAGTTAGACTAGAGAAATACAGAGAGAGAGTGTGAGAGAAAGTGAGAAAGCAAGTTGTCAGGTCTGGGACTTGAAGCACAGTTGACCCTGTGGGAGTTCAGCGCCTAACCACCACGCCATCTGCTGGTCCAGACTGGAGTTATTTTAAAATTGCTTTCTATATGTTAGTTTTGCTTCTCCTGCTAAGTCGTAAGGTCCTTGAGGCTAAACAATAGAGCATATATACCCTCTGTGTGCCTCTCAACATAAAGTGAAGAGTTCATCATAGATGTTGAAAAATATTTTCCTGATAACAAATGGCACGAAACTAATTGAGATGACCAAGCATGGAACTCCACTCAATGAGAAAAATAGTTCTTAAGGAATATAACAGAGTCCAGTGTGGAGATAGAGTGGAATGGAAGGAGAAAAAATTGTTTTAGGAATAAACCATTTTGGGCAAACTCATGGATCATTTTGTGAATTGTTGCTCAAAACCATCTGAACTTAATTTCCAAAATGTGTGGATGTTCAAAGATACAGTGCAGAAACACTATTAAAATCTGTTCTATGTCTCCAGGTACAAATCATATAATGGTGTGAACCCCTATGGTTCACTCATATTTTTTGCATGGCTATTCAAACTGTTATGTGAAACCATGTATGCTGTGAGAAAATAATAGTTTGTTTAAAATAAGTGTCTTATGCTCTATATATTTGGGAAATGTGACTAAACAAACTTGAAGATCTTTTGTTGTTTTAACTGCTCAGCTTGTCGAGTCATTTTTTAAAAAAAGAATTAATTTAATTGTATTTATTATTGTTATTATTATTATTTTAGTTTGTTACAGAGCACACGTACTCACCAGAAAAAGAGAAAAAAAGAGAGAGAGAGAGAGAGAGGGAAAGTGAGAAAGCCAGCAGCTAGGTCCAGGACACAAACCATAGCTGACCATGTGGGAGTCCAGCACTTTAAACTCCATGCCACCTGCTGGCTCCTCAAAAGCTGTTAGAATTCTAAGATTCATTGTAGTTTTCTAGATCTGTGAAACCTCTTTCTGCCTTTTTTTATTTTATTATATTTCTATAAGGAACATACATTAACTGTCATAAGGAATACTGCTCTTTCACAGAACACAGTTTAGGAAACACACTTGAAATATTTTCAATTGTTGAATAACACTAGCCTTTTTATTTTATTTACTTTTTTGTTTGTAATTTACTCAAAGTAAATTTAACCTGTCCTGAGAAATTGTCACTTTAAGTTGTCCCAATGTGTATGGCATGGAGATAGTTAATGAGAGTCAATTTGCTTGAAGGTAAATGTACAGCAAACTCTTGCCATGGGCTCACTGAACTCTCCCCTGTGATGTGCTATCACGCTGGCTGGCAGCTCCAATTCATCAAACTTACAATATTGCCAATTTTGCTGTTCAAATCTCTGTCCTGGAGCAATTGGATTTGCAAACCAGGAACTGGTAAATGGATGTTGGATGAAGCTCACAGTGAAGACGTAAATGCCTTTTGGCACTGTGATTTGGCATCGATGGATGTCAAGCTTATTTGCTCATTTCCTCTCCTAAACTGGAGGCTCTTTAACCCATTTAAAGTTCTAGATTTTTCAGAGTCAATGTTCTATGAGTTCATTATCAAACTGTACTAAAATAACCTTGTGGAAGCTCAAGAAGTATTGAACTTAGTACTCTAGTTTATTCCCTTTTGAAGTTCTGTATTTCATTCCTGTTACAAGTATGCAACATTGCACCACATGGCACGACCTCTTCTACAAGCAACAGCCCTCTTTCTACGACTACTGCACCGTTTAGAGAACCCTGCTGTGAGCCGGGCACAGTACTGAAAATACCACGTGTCCTAGCTCACTCAATCTTCACAACAATTCTTTGAGACATGGTTTTCCATTCAAATTCAGTTCTGTCAGACTCAAAAATATGTGCCTAGACACTATACTTCTTGATGCAGTCTTTGGGCAGTGGATTGCACATACACATTATTTGAATAAGAAATTACATAGTCACATAATCCTTCGGGTGTGCCTTGGTTAAGATGGTGACAGATCCCTTTTCTCTTGTGTTGGTTAGCTAGGTTCTCTTACCACGTCCCGGAAGCACTGGATAACAAATATAGGTAGCTCTCACTTTCTGAAATTCTGTAGGAACAGGTTTCAGTTACCATGGTTTACCTAAACACTAGTTCCCAACAACATGTTTCAAATTTCAGTTACTATGATATACTGCAAGTAGTTACAGAAAATATAAACGTTGCAGCCAACTCTTTATCCATGGATCACTTTGTAAATAACAGATGTGAATTCTGATTGGTAACCAATTACATCACTTTTTTTTTTTTTAAGAGATTTTTGCTATTGGGCATATGTGCGTGCCAGAGAGACAGAGAGAAACAGACAGAAAGTAAGAAATCATCCTACACAGGGGATGGTCACACTGCAATCCTTTCTCCTTCATTCTCTTCTTGGGATTTTGGGCACACATGTACATACCAGGTATGAGTTTCAAGCCACTGGGTTGGGACTTGAACCATGGCTGGCCATGTGGGAGTCCAGTGCCTTAACTACTATGCCACCTGCTGGCTCCCACATCACTTCTTTCAAGACTGTCAATGATTGGTCACTGAGCACCTGTCAATGAGTGCACAGCAGACAGTAAAGTGTACAGATATGTTACCTCTCTTTTCTTTTCTTTCTTTTTTTTTTCCCACTCACCAAGTATTTACCATATACTCACCATGCTGGGTGCCACACGTAAAGTGTGACTGAGGCACCCTCAGAGGAACACATTCATGGTTTGGCAGAATGATGAACCTACGTGACATGTTCCAAAAATGCATAGTTAAAAGAGAATTGGCTAACAAGGATGAAATTGCAACAAAGAAATAGTGGTCATTCAAGCACTGAAATTTAAATGAAATGTAAATGAATTACAGAAGAAATAACTGACTGAGAGAATGCTGCCACTGTCACTGTGGAACAGACTTGCTGAGCAACCAGAGGACCTTAGGGGCTAGGAAACTCATTGACATAGACAGGAAAGTGGTTGGGATAGAAAGGGTGAGTGTATCCCAGTTAAAGTGACCTGAGCAAACAATTTTACATTAAAAGATGTCTCACAGATTTGGCATTGCAAAAGAAGCTATCTTTTGAAAAGGTTGAGTAATGCTCTGTTCTTAGAAAGGAGTATGATCAAGGTGTAGAAAAGATGAGAACAAACGCTCACATGTCTACGAGAAGAAGGTGGCAATTACTGTTATACGATCTTAATGGATGTTTGTACAAGGGAACACAATACACAATAATGCTTCTAAAGTTTTAAATTACATTGTACTCAATAAATACTAGTTTTACTATTTTTCATTTTCTTATATATTTATAACAGAGTTTTTAATATTTTGATAACATTGTTTACATGTCAAGGGGCCATGGTAATTTTTCTTACTGATTATTTAGATTGCTTTGTATACTTTCAGCCTGTAGGATTTTTTTAAAAAAGAATTATTTACTTAATTTTATTTGTTATTATTGTTATTATTTTTAAAAATTTCCCATAGGGCATGCATGTGCACTCACTAGAGAGATACAGACCGAGAGAGAGGGAAGGTGAGAAAGCAGCTGCCAGGTCTGGGACTTGAACCCTGATCAAGTCCCATGTGGGAGTCCACACTCCCATGTGGGAGTCCAGCACCTTAACTACCTGCTGGCCCTGTAGGTATCTTTTTATGGTCTCAAATTACCAAAAAAAGTGAAGGTTACTGGCATATAAAAAATGCCTATATAATTAAGATTTCCAGATACTAAGCGTACTAACCATCACTTTGAATAGAGAACTATGACCAATATCTATGCTGTATTTCCTAACTAGAGATGATGATGAGAGACTATCCTGAAAGAAGTTTACTGCCCTGTGTTTGCTGGGTGCTACTGTGCAGGTACAGCTCTTGGGTGGCTACAGTGGGCAAGAGCAACCCTGTGATTTATGCATGGGGGCTGCTCCTTCTCAGCAGCTGCCATAGCCTGGTTATTGGAACATGGTTAAAAAAAAAGAAAAGGTTTAGATATTGTTCAGTGATTGATGAAAGACAGACACATGGCACTGTAGGTAATAGGTTAAAAATGGTTTCCTACCAATCTTCTAAAGTCAAAAATTACCATTCAAGAGGTGGTGAATAAAGAAGCACTTGCCAAGGGACCAAGAGAGGAACTTGAGCCTGTGAAAGATAGTTGAATATGTGAAAAGGGAACTGCCTCTATTAAATTCTGGAATTTTTTTTTCAAGGTGAAGTTACATTCATGGTGTCTTTGCCATATTTAGTAAATCCAGGCAGAGCTGGGCTAAAGGCATGGCTGGCAAAATAGCCTTGGGCCAGGGCCAGCAGGTGGTGTGGTGATTAAGGTACTGGACTCCCAAATGGTTGATCATGGTTTGTATCCCAGACATGTCTCTCTCATGTCTGATAGCAAAATTTGAAAAATAATAATAAATACAATTAGATAAAATAACTGTTTAAGACAAATAGCCTTGGGCTAACTGGCTGACCACTCACGTGACCACTGATTTCTACCAATAGTTTCTTGCACATTCAAGACTCTGAGGACACAGGTGAGTAGCTGGTCATCTGTTTTTGCCTTGGGAAAGTGTCTTGAGCACGTGATCCCCATACTTACAATGACAGCAGGTAAACCTCAGCTCAGATTATTATTTTTTTGGAGAGGTTTTTGCTATATGGTTTGTGTGCTCGCCAGAAAGAGAGATAGAGACAGAAAGTGAGAAATCACCCCCCAGGGGGGATAGCCACACCGCAATCCCTTCTCCTTCATTCTCCTCTTGGGATCTTGGGCACACACGCACACGTGCTCGGCATGAGTTTAAGCCACCGGGTCTGGACCTCAAACTGCGGTCGACTACATGGGAGTCCAGCGACATAGCCATTATGCTAACTGCTGGTCCCCCTCAGCTCAGATTTCTATAGATATGCCACTAAGTGCAGAGGATTGTTTAAGAGCTGCCATTTTGGAAGCTCCCATCATTATTTTGGTTATTTTTCTGTTCATTCAAGTCCTGGGGTAGATGTTCCTCTTTATTTGTGGAAAGAGCTCTTCACAATAGATTCAGCCCAGTTGTATACATCTGGCTTGTGCGTTGCACCAAATTCCTGTTGCTCTATTTGCCTGGCTCTTTCTCTCATGGTGGCCATTTTCTAAGCTTCCACTGGGGAGATTGACTCTAGAGATGGCTCAAGCTGTTCCCAGGACTGTGTAGCTCTAGTTCCTACAACCTCATTTTCTAGTGCCTGTGGTCATTTTAGCTTCCCTGGGGATGAGGGCTGGGTACCAGCACTGTCTTCCTTGAGTCCATTGAAAAATGCAGTGGTGAAGGCCTCATGTTCTGGAATGAGACTCTGGAGGACTCAGTCTTCGCCAGTGACTGCCCTGAGGGACCACAAACACAACTGGCAAAATAGGAGAGTTAACATTCAAGGAAGAAACTTTGACCATAGAAAGACAGGATAAGAAAGGAGCCGGTGGGTATCTGCTTGTCCTTTCCTCCTCTGACAGACTGTATTAAAACACCACCTTTCTGGAAATACCCGGCATGACTAAGCTACCAGTGTTGCTGTGTCAGTTTGTAACATACTACCTCACACATGCTTTCAGCTTTTTCCTAACTAGATTCACCGCTCCTGCCAACCACTCCCACCACTTTTGCTTTCTGGGATCATGCCTTCAGTGAAGCATTAACCCTAAGATTTGCCTTAAGCCCTGTTTCCTAGGAACACAGGCAAACAAACCAATGTGTGCTAAAAACGATCAAGGTTTGGTCTTAAAATACCCTGATAGCCTATAAAGGCACTGGCTTATATTATAACTAACTATATTTTTATGAGTTTCTTAATCTGTTACCAACAAAACCAATGAAAACTCAACAAACAACACAAAAAAAATGAATACCCTCCCACACACAAATGCCTTCTGGATTTAATCATTTTTTCCCCTAAATTTCTTTATATTTAATCATTGTATATCTTTATAGGATATAGTACTTAATAAATATTACTTTGTGTTCTATGTGGTTATACTAATCCCTCTGGGGGATTTAAGGCGGCACTATCCCCAAAACAATGTTGACCAGAAAAACTTATAAACACATGTAAATGACTACAAGAATAACTCACATATGAGTACACCTAAGCCTTCAACAATTTCCAGGCGAGGCATAAAATTGTCAAAATTTTTCATTCTGTTTTTAAAGCCACTAATGATAGTAACAATTACTTGTGTTGGATGAGAGGGGGAAGAGAGATCACTGTAAAAGTTAAATTTCAGAGAATCGTTAGTAATTCTAGTCTTTTTTTTCCCCTGGGTCATGAGGTCCCCCCATCCACTGCCTGAGGAACTCTCAGAGGGGAGGCACCTGCGTTAACATAGATCTAATTATGCAAAATCATTTTTCGCTGGAAAAAAAATTTATTTCAAAAGAGAAAGAAAGGCAGTCAACCTATTACTCTGTAGCAGAAGCCAGCGAGGTGTGCAGCCTTAACCAGGTCAATGCAGAGCTGCGGTACTGCTGAAAGGTGGGTTCCATTCCCTGTTACTGCCTTCTGGTCCTGAAAACCATTAATCCTATTAATTGTGTATCAAAAGACTGGTAGCAATTCTACAAATGAGTAAACACAGAGATAAAAGTGTAATCATACTAGTCCAGCAAATTGGATTCAGGTCTTCATTGAACAATCCTGTTTCAATTCAGCAATTTTATTATCACTGTTACTGGAACAAATCACTTTATTAAACAGAAGGAGCTTTTGTGGAGAAATTTCTTCTTGTGGGCAACATTATGAAGCTCTCTAACATAAAAACAGCACTTATACTTGTCAAGGGATTTCTTTAGGCAATTCAACTAATGGCTTGTGACAGGTAGGACTTGAAATGTTCATTCAAGCCTTCCCTTTTGCTAGGCAGCTGTGTTTTTTTTTTTTTTTTTTTTTTTCATTCTAAGGGAAAAAAAGCCCTTTCGATGCTTTTAGTGGAATTAATATTTTCAGTGAGGAGTTTGCTGACAAGATCTCTCTCTTTGTTTCTCTATCTTTCTCCCTCTCTCCCCTTTCTCTCTCTCTCTCTCTCTGAATGGCAGAGGAGTTTGAGGAAGGAGAACATTATAGAAAAGGACAGCACTTATTTGTATTTAATTGAGGCAGGTCATTCCCCAGAAAATTTCACACGGGGGCCTTTAAAATGTTGGAATGACTCGGGAACCAGCAGTTAGCGTAATGGCTATGTCGCTGGATTCCTATGTAGTCGATCGTGGTTCGCGTCCTGGACCTGGTGGCTTAAATTTCACACCAGGCATGTTGGCGTTGGGGCCGATCCCGAGAGGAGAATGGAGGAGAAGGGATTGTGGCGTGACCATCCCCCCTGGGGGGTGATTTCTCACTTTCTATCTCTCTGTCTCTCTCTGTCTGGCTGGCGAGCACACACGCCCTATAGCGAAAAACCTCTCCCCCCAAAAAAATATGTTGGAATGACTCATCCTATTGCTAGGGAAGAAAATGAACAAAACTGAAATGATGATCAACCATTAACTTGCTCTCTAAATTCCCTTCCTGGGCAAGTAGGGCACTGGGATGTCACGACCAGAGGCAGGAGTGGAGACTGGCTCCTTAGCTGCGGTGGAGCATAGAGTTGAGGCCATGGAAGAAGAAATCTCAGGGCAGAGGGAAGCTCGGGAGGCACTAGGCAGGCTTACGGCACGCTGCCCGATGGAACTTGAGTGGTGACAGAAATGTTCTGTGCACATTGTTACGATAGCTGCTATCAACATGTGACTGCTGATTTCTTCACCGAGGCTCGTGTGACTAGGAGCCACACTCTTAACTTCATTTGCTTGTATTTCATTTTAATTAATTTAAATTCTGATAGCCACCTGTGGCTATCCATCGAAGAACACGGGTTAAAGTGTTAGAATTTGAAGTATGAGCAGAGAGGTAAAAACTTCCTCTAAAGAGAAAGCTCTTTCATAAAGTTTGGCAAACTGTGGTGAAAAATTCAGGGGAGTGAGAAAAGAGTGAAAGAAATCAGGAAAAACTGAACAAGTCCTGCATCAAGCATTGGCATTCGGTCATAGATTAAAATATACTTTTCTGAATATTAAGTATAGTTCTAAAAAGATTAAACTTTCCTATAGGATTTTTGGTCTTAATAAGTTAAATATGGGGCCAACCAATTGTGTGGTGGTTAGGGTGGCTGGATATTACATAGCTGACTATGTGGTTCAAGTCCTGGACCTGGCAGCTTGAAAAACATGCCAGATGAGTGTGCATGCATGCCCAAAATCCAGAGAGGAGATGGAGGAGAGGAGATGCAGTGTGGCCATCCTCACTGGAGAGGACTCTTTCTCATCTCCCACTTTGTGTCTCTGGGGAACACATGTGCCTTCTAGCAAGATGCAAAAAAAGAAAAAAAAATTAATATGCCAGCTCTGAAGACAAAAGCTGGTCAAGCAAGGCTATCAATCTAGCTAAGATTGTCATAAACTTTGTATAAGCCAAAAGAGTTATTTAAGAAATAAATCAACAGGGATCAGCAGATGGCATAATTTTATGTCACTGGACTCCCATGTAGTAGACTGCAGTTCAAGTCTCAGACCCGTTGGTTTAAAACTCACACCGGACACATGTGTGCACATATCCAGAATTCTAAGAGGAGAATAGAGGAGAAGGGATTGTGATGTGATGTGGCCATCCTCCCCTGGGGGAGTGATGTCTTGCTTTCTGTCTCTCTATTTCTCTGTCTCTGCAGTGAGCATGTGTGTCCTATGGCAAAAATTCTCTAAAAAATTAATAAATCATTAAATCTGATAAATTCTGAATTGAACATTAGGTGACCTGATTTTTTTCTTTTTATAAATTGGCCATTCTGTATATTGGCCATTTGGCAAAACGGCATCCCGTGAAGTGGGCAGCTGTCCTCTTTCTCCGCTCTTTTTACATGCTCCAGTATGTGCAAGGCCCACGTGCCTGGGAAACGCCTACACA